GCTGGGGTCTACCCCCTCCCTCCTTGGCAGTATCGGCTGCCCTCCTCTATCACACGTTGCTGGCATCTCTCGCCTGTCTTCCTCCCTCCACGCTTGCGGCCCGCCCCCGGCCAAACGACTGGTTGGCCTACCTTAGTATTGCACTATCTCCTGGATTGAGCTGGCCGGCCCCGTCATGGCATTTCGCCAGGGCCCTATTGTGGGCCTGACAGCGGACACATACGTTCGCAGACGCCTGTAGAGGCACTTGGTAGTTTCCTAATCTATTCTTTCCTTTGTCGAGATGACGCTGAAGGGTGTTCTTCCCTCTCCTGCCTTCCCTGTGGAGGACGATTGTTTCTGTGCGGGGCGGGATGTGCGGTTAGGCCCATACCAGAGGGTCTTGGGGGGGTTGTTTTGGTCCCTGGGGCGTGGCGGTATGCGTTTGGAATTAAGGTTTTGTTTTTGCCATAGCTAGCGCTCCATGCAGGTTCTTGTACCTTAATAAAGAATATATGAGTTAAACAAAAAAAAAAAGAAATTGAGGTAGCTCTATGGCTATCCCAGTTGGGACAATTACCTGCCCATTGGCTGGTATCTTGACTTCTTCGTTGGCATAAAGGTCATGCCCTGCTGCTTTTTTGAACTATCTGGTAGGTATCTTTCCCTCGTGACTTAGTCTTTGAACTTTGATCTTCTGATCCTTTCTTGGTCGTACTTGGCTGAACTTCGCATCCAGGTTGTCTTCGATTGCTTCTTCTTCTGGCGTTGCATATACCACTAGCAAACTGTTGAGACACCATGTCGTACATCATTCACTGTTAAAGGTAACTTTTCCTTTTTCCCAGTTCAATGTGGGATTGTGTTGTCTTAACCATGGCATCCCGAGGATAATTTTATAGTGTTGTAGATTTGCCACTTGGAAGGTAGCCACTTCCCTATGGTCTCCGATTTCTATAGGTACTTGTATGGTATCGGTGATAGGTCCCATTACACTGAGTTTTCCATCCGCGTAGTAAATCTGTCTCTCGTTTTTTTGCTTTTTTGGTTCTTAGTTGATATTTTTTGCATATTACTTCGTCGATGAAATCTTCCATTGCTCCTGAGTCGAGCATCACAAGTATCGTTATTGCTTTTTGATTGTTGTCATAAATGGTAGTCTTGATCATGATATGATCATTGTCGTTGTTATTCGTTTTCCGGCATAAAAGAGTGTAATAGTTGGCCGTTGAGATGAGTTTGTCTTTCAGAGGATCCCGCAGACTATCTATTGCTGGGGACCTTCATCTTTTGCCACCGTCTCATATTCGTCTTTGATTTCAATTTCTCTCAAGTTACTGCATAGTTGGAACGTCAGGCTTGGTCTTGGATTTTGTTGATTCCTTCCTTGATTTGGAGTTGGGTTGGTAGGTCATTTGCAATCCCTAATCATGTGCCCTCCTATTCCACATCTTAGGTATAGATTATTATTTCATCATCAAAGGTACTGGTCTTTTGCGTGGTTGAGGAACCATCTTTTTCGAGTAGCGTCCAGGTCTATAGCATCTCCATCTTGGGTGGTGGTCCTCCAGGTTCCATTCTGGTTCCTAGGTGTATTTTGGTTTCTTGTATCCGTAATATTTCTTTGTGTCCTATTAGACTGGTTCCTTTGCATCCAGTCTAGTTGTCCAAACTAGATTTCTTTTCGAATGGCCTAGTGGACCATCTCTTCGGTGGAGGTAAATCTTTCCTTGCTGTACCTCCATGCTTCTTGATAGGTTTTTCTCAAACCTTTCATGAACCATCTCATCACAGAGGCTTCATCGCATTCTGCATTGTACTGAAGTAGTCGGAACTCGTACTAGTAATCGGTGACATTCTTTGATCCTTGGCGAATTTCTTTCAATTTGTTTCTTACCGATTGGCTTAATTCGATATCCGTGAATTGTGCTTCGAATACTGCTTTGAAGCTGGCCCAGTCTTTCTATAGTGCATTATTGCTGACCATGATAGGGGTTATCCATTTTAGGGCTGTTTCTTCAAGTAAAGTAAGAGTATATCGTATTTTGTCCTGGTCGTTCTCTTGCCTACACCCTACTGCATCAAAGTAGGTCAAGAGTTGTACTATGAATCCTCATAGCTTGCTTCTTTCCCTATCATACCGCAGTGGGGTTTGGACTTTAGGTTGTTGCCCTTTTCCTCTTATAGCCTCTCATACTGTCTGTTTCACTTCTTGATCTGGAATTATCAGAGGAGGCGCTGGTCCTGCTGGCAGTGGGCCTGGTGGTGGTGCTGGTCCCAACATTCTTTCCGGTTTCGGTGTTTCAGGCAGTTCCTCTTCATTTGGAGGAGTAGCTTGTTCCGGTGTGACTGGACTGACTGATCTTGCTGAGTGTCTGCTTGCTTCGCTGAGTGCTTCGTCTAATTCTCCTAGACCTAAACTGTTATCTTGTAGGTCTATGTCTCCTTCTTGATCTCTGTTAAAAGGATCCGTGGTGAAATCATTAAGTGTCGCGTTGTAGACATGTTCTAATGTTAAGAATCCTACCAGGTGCGGGGGTGCGACAGGTAACAATTCTTAATGTGTATCGAGGTAATAGTGGTTAGACTGATGCCTATACGATGTGGATAGCTAAGTCCTTTCAACTTCTATCTTATTGCGCCTATTCCTCTAATCTTCTTAAGTCTTCGCTTAGGACTGAGTGGTTCGACGTGGGAGGAGAAATAGTTTTCTCGCTTGGGAGGAAAGATAGTTCTTGGGTTTCTTAAGATAAATCTTAAAGAGCGTAAAGGTCGGTTTTTATTGTAATAACTTAAAGGTAGGAAATAAACAAGAAGTATGTGTGAAGAACTAATACTTTGAGGTCCTAGCAATCCCTTAGATAGTAGTTCTTCACCTGGCGTGACTCATACCTCATGTCACGTGAACCCTGTAACTCATAACCATGAGTCATGTGAAATCCATCAGCTGACTCCTATGAGTCACTGCACAACATACTTAAAACCAATCAAAACATAATAACCAAGTCAGGTGCGCAACTCGCGTCACCTGAGTGAAACCCATGACTCATAAATTGAGTCATGTGCGAAAATCATAACAGCATGTGACTCACAACTGTGAGTCATGAACAGGTAAACATAATAACCTATGTTGCACTAGTGTGCATCATGTGAAATCCCAACATCCCTATAGCTCGGAATTCCGGGCTATCTAAAATCTGCCTTGCTTAGTCACAGTTTGTGACAATTGTATGTATTCTGAAATTTTATTTCATACTCATTCACAATTGTTTCTAACTAAATAATTGTATAAGTTAGTTAACTCCTATTTAAAATAAAATACTAAATAGAAATACATATACTTAAACAAAACAAATAATAATTAAAACTATTTAGTAAAAGTAAAAAATAATTATAATAGTAAGAATAATAAACAGAATAAATAAAGATTAGAATATTAAAATTAAATTAAAATATAAAAAAATTAACCATAAAGTAAACATAAACAATTAGAAATAAAAATACCTCGTCAAAAAAGCAATTCATTAATTGAATATTATTACCACGAATATTGCGAATAAAATCAAGCTCCTTGCTGAACCGTGTTTTTACGTCAGGATGCCACTTTTTAAATGCTGTTTCCCACTTCCTTCCAATTATCTCGTGAGGGCTTTATTTCTGAAGAATAGAGGTGGCAATTTCTCGTAACTGCCAGATTGTCGGTGGAAATCTGAGACGACAGCGAAAATAGTACCACTTCAAAACAATCCTCTCCTCCTCTGGAGTAAGCTTTTGCCTTTGTTGACTCTCTTCTTCTCTGTTTTTTCTTCCCTGCTGGCGGTGCATAACAGTTGTCAGAGCAATTCCCACCATTCCTGCAGCTACTGTAAGGCTTGAAGCCTTTCCAGTAACTGCCATCTCAATTGCCATCTGTTCTCGTACTCAGATTGGGATATCACAATTGTCTTGACCCATAATTAGAGTATTTTGTATCAAAGAGAGGACTCGGAGGTGGGAAGGTAGGTCTTGTTAGTTTTCCTCTGATTATCGTGATACTGATGATATAGTTTTCTTACTAACTATTCTAACTAACTATTCTAAGATGCCAAGTTTTGCCGCGCCTCGCTGAGGGTGCCGCCTCGCTGAGCCCTCTCATGGTTTACAAGTATGATACTCGAGTACTGGCACTGTACCCCGGTGTAGCGATTCGGCCGGGTGCCCAAGATCCCCAGAAGATTAAATATCATACCGGTAAATTGCTCAATGGGCTGACCGAGTGGCTGTGTAATCCTACCCGTGGATATGCGTGCAGTCCCCGAGAGTGGGGCCAGAGAACGGGAGTTGTTTAACTCCCACCCCCCACCCCGCGCCTAGTCGTCGTCGCCAAACCATGACGGAGGTTACCGCAGTGTAAAGTTACGCCACAGCCCCGTAATTTTCATGTATCATACCGTATTCGACATTGCGCCACAAACGCTGGAGTATTTCATGGCAGTGGCGATGCCGGTGGTGTACTCGAGTACAGTACTACTCGTAGCAGAGCCTGGAGTTCTCACCGTTCTGGTTCGGTTACTCGCGGGTTACACTGGCATTTAGGGCGCTGTACGAGTACTTTTTCAACCCTGTATTCGTGTTCCTTTCCATTTCCTTCTGTCGTTGGTGCTCAGGATTCTCTGTTTGGTCGCTTCTTCCGCCACTTGGCTGCTTTGGGAGGGCAAGCCCGTTTTGCCGTCGCTAGCAGCGCTACCTACCCACACCCCCGCCAACCCGGCAGACATCTCTAAACCGCGTTCGGTTTCAATCATACATAGCGGGTGGCTCACTCCGTGATTGCACAAACGCTTAGAGTGTTTGCTGTACTCGAATATTGTGTTTTTGAGTGAAGCTAGGCCCACCTCACATAGTCTTTGGCCGTTTGGGGGAAAAAAGTCTATAGTCATTGTTCCCTTATAGGTCTCGGGGGGCTGGTGCTGGGTGGGTGATCGGGTTCCTTTTTTCTGCGTGCCGTGAAATGAGAAACCTGGGTTGATAAACAGGGAGTCATATATTCATGTGTCTAGCTCTTGAGGGCACTATAGGTAGGATATAACTTTTTTTTGGGGGGTTTATTTGGGGTATATCAAGGGGTAGAGATAAGGAAAAGTTCGTGCTATGGGAAGTTCCTTGTCTGTGCATGAGATAGGGGGAACTGTAGTTTATTTCCCAGGCCTCTCGGAGTGCTCCTCCTCCACCGGGATCGGAGACCACTTAGCATCTCCCCAGCGATCACTCGTCAACCCACAACTTCCGGGATGAATCCACCCTCTTTCTAGCTGCCGCTCATAGCTTACCATCCGCAATCTCTCACTCTCGGCAGGAGTAAGACGCAACTGTTGTCCTGTTAGCTTTTGGATAGCTTGGGTTAAGCTGTTTTTCTTAAGGAATCGCATACATATATCTCAACAGCTAGGTAGTGGATCAGCCCGGCTACCCATATAGACGTGCCAAAAGTTACTCTGAATACAGCGCTTGCGTTTTCTTCTTCTGCATTGTCCCCGCCTAGGGATGCGCGAACCGGGATGAGGGTATCCGGGCTTGACTTGCATGTTGGGTAGTCAATATCAAACCGGGTTGAATTGGAGACAATCTCGGATAATTCGTCACAGGTAAGCAACTTTGTAAACGTTAGTTGGTTGGGGAAAAGAGAGACGGATGAGTCGGCCGGAAAATTACCGCGTAATAGGAACCAACAGCAGTGATTGAAATAGCACTGATGATCATTATAATCCTCGCAGTGATTATTGAACCCATCTAAGATCCTGGTTAGCGGCGAATACGGCGTTAACTGTCAAACTTACGTAGACCATTGTCCGTAACATCCATGCCCTATGTTGTTCAATTTGCAGTCTCTTAATATTGTAATAGGCCAATGAACTCGCTGTCAGTGACAAGAAAGAGAGTACGAATACCCCTGCTTGTGTTTCCACTGTCCCGCCGAATGACCTACGGGCGATGGCTAGAGCAGCTCCGCTGGAAACCCACAAAAGGATAAGGAATATATAGCCGTCTATCCGGTGAAGCGGAAGCACTTTCTGATTTTCTGTTAGTGTAAAGGCTTTTTGAGGGCTGTGATGCATGAGGACTACTAGCATACCCTGCGGATTATAGGAAGGAATTGGAATACACCGATAATTGCACATGCTATTGTATTTGTCAGCACGAGAATGTTTGGCCACAGTACAAACTCGAATGGAGGGTAGATGTGCAGGGCGTTGTAGCTGCCTCCCCTAGTCGGACTCTGTATATAAACCTTTTGCTTTGTTCCGAGTGGATTGAGGTTGCAGTGTTTCCCCCTCACTTAACCAAGAAGGGGAATTCCAACGTCCTAGCACATCTCTCTCCTACTCGGGTTCCTACTGTAGCGAGTCAAGGTAGTTGAACATACGCAGGATACAGGCTAGATGGATCTTCAAACCGATATTATAAAGGTCTTGACGAAACCAGTACCATTCCCCGGGCGCGAGGTCGCTCTCAAGGACTGCGTCTGAGAGGTATTGAAGACGAGCGGCAGAAAACCCTACCGTGATGCCTCCGAAGATCACCCCTATTGATTATTAGCTGTGGAAGTAGGACTCATCCTTGAGGAAAGCGGTGCCTACATAGTGGAAAATTGTACTTTTTCGCAAACCCAAGGGCGGTGACCACTCTCTGATACATAGAAGGCTGGCTGGGCATCTTGTTAGACTTATCCCTAAGGAAACCACGGCGGTCGAAAGTGTGCGTAGGTTTGCTTGTATTGCGAGATAGAAAGAAGGGCACGCAGCTCCGGAGAATCCTCGGGGAGAGCGTGATATATGATCATTTCTTCCCGCGGAGAACTTTGAAGTTTAAGGCTGTAATCGACCTATCGCGAGCTCCTCCAACGTCACAGAACAAGTGCCGCCTCATCAGCAAACCAGGCGCTATGATCATTCACGAATCCCTATGATATCTATACCAATAGTAGGGAACGGGGTACGACATGTGTCTCACTGCACGTCGTGGCTGCGATATAATTCGTCGGCAAGCCGCTCTCGGCGTAAATATTCTGCCGTTCGCTTCGCGAGGACCGTTGTACGGCTTCCAGCAAGAGGATCTGCAAGGCACACCGCAGCGATATCCCACCTCCTCGTATCAAGCCGCCACATAATTCACATGGGTGTGGAGGATGTCTGCCTATCGTATTCAAGCGATAGCTACCTTGTGCTACGCTGCGAATTGTGATATAGACCTTGCTGTGAGTGTCTGTAACTGGTAGCGAGGCTACCGCCGGGAAATGCTGACCCGATCTACGGCAAGAAGCTTGACATAGGAATACAGTCGCCCACGGGGGCACGACGAAAACCCCCGGGCGACGAACGGAGGTATTTGACGGTAGAAAAGTGGATTCGTTAGGGTAGGGTAACTGAACTAAAGAATATCTCTTACTGATCCCTGTTCGTCACCCGCCGGTTTTCGTCGTGCCCCCGTTGAAGACAGTGCCCTTGAAGACAGTGCCCTGCTACTTGGAGCAGGGAGGGTTTCATCGATTACCGTATTCTGGTGATAGTAGGGACTTTGCGATTTCGCATCCAGAGTCAAATTCTAGCGATCTCGTTGGCCCAGAACCCTGTTTGACCCACATCCAGAGTCTTTTCGCAAAGTCCCTACTGTGAGGGTTCCCAAAGACTCTGGGTCTGCCCAGCCGATGGGAAGATAGCACAGCCCCGGTATCAAGCTCTCCAAGACTAGATCGTGCCGCATCGCTTCGTAAAAGTCGGGTTAGAGCCAACGGTAACCGAACCAACAACAGGGCAAGTTGACTCCCAAATAATCACGTTCTAGGCAAGCACCGAGTGGTGATTGGGTAGTCCTTCGCTACCGCTTGGCCGGCTTTTACGAAGGGATGTGGGTAGATCGAGTGGTACGAGTCTGGTGGCACCTGAAGCGCACTATGCGTTGTGTCCATATGATGTCGATGTCGTATCGTACTCGTATGGATAGTGCACTTTTTCAGCCTATATCAGTCAACTGCTCGTACCATACTGAGAATGCATAAGTGCTGAGTCTCTGCATTCTAGAGGACTTCAGAAGTTACCGGAGCCATCAATCTTTAGCACCTTGCGTAAGTTAGGGACATGGTTGCAAGTGCCTCGTTTCACGAATGATCTCTCCGTCAGCACTCTCTTGCACGCCCCGCAGCAAAAATTGAAAGGGTTATGTATCCAAACCCTTGCACTCGCCTTGTTCACTTTTATATAATTTGCATCCGGTCCGCACAACTCAGTGGCCTTTCCTGACCGCCGACTCGAGAAATACAGGGTTTGTGAGGCAAAAAACTGCTGCGGGTGTGCTCCTCGGGTGAGTAAGCTTTGGTATTCTATATCTGGGCTGGGTTTGGTCTGGCATGATTATTGGTAGCGTTAACCTGGCTCATCGCTATCAGAAACCTCCGAAGCTTCTCGCCGCTCCTTCCGTAATGCCTTTCCCGAATTAACAATCCATTTCCTATATTAGACTAAAAAGAAAGTCATATTGTAGACTGGTTCTTGTGGCTCGATTGGCTGGGAAACAGTCAGTATTGATGTTCAAAGAATAAGAAAGGCTCGGAATCCTGGAGATATATGTAGTGGGTATTTGTAAAAAAGAGGAATTTAGGCCTGCAGAACCACTTTTCTGTCATCCAAACTGCTGATACTTTTCCCCGGAATCCTCGTGGGCTCTAGAGCAGTGGAGGGGGGGTTGTTCGTATCTCCCCGAGCTTCGGTATCTTACCTGTCGAGTTCTATTGGAAGGCTCAAACGAAACTTTGATCGGCTAGACGTCTATCCGAATATAAGAAATAAATAACTCACTGTCTTACTATACGTGTAGGGTTTTCTCACTATCGCTAGGCATTCCCTCAGAGTGAACTACTACCTTCGTATCCCGAATGCTTTGGGATCCTGCGAGAGCTTGTGGCAAGAGGATTGATTAACTAGCTACAATCGTAGAAATTACAATCCGGAGAGATACCACCACCTTGCCTTGTCCCCGAGTTGATGGTGCGATGTCCCTAGCACGTTGAAAACGTATCATTCATGCAAAGTTCAAAATCGAACTATCTACTATGATGCAAGACAGGAGGTGCTCTTGTTGGATCTAAAGAGGGGCCTAGCGGGTTTTTGCGGTTCGAAAAAAATCGGACCGGGTTACTTCCTTCATTTCAGTTTACCAATAGAAACGATAGGGCTCTTCCCGGGGCCATGATGGTGATAGTGGACGTGCACAGTCTGTCGATGGGATCGGAGGTGGAGAGGAGTGTGTTGTTCCTCTATGAAAGATGGCTGGCTATCTACCGGTAATGCATAGGTGGAAGACACCACAAGAGGGTAAACTCTTACACTCGTCTGCGCACTCAGAGCGCAGCACCCATGTATACCTCCGGTCATACATTTCCCCTACATGTCTTCACACACCGCTGTGTTCCTCTGCTCTGTCATACCTGCACTCCCAACACCACAACACACTACTACGGGGATTATAATACCATCAGGACACAGTCTCCTGCGGGCACAGTGCTGTATTTGGTTGTGGTTCCCCCCTAGGGTTATCTCTTGGACAAGATTTATCGGTATCGCAGATTCGTTTGAACAGTCTTCAGATAATCTATCAAATTGAAGGTTCTCTTATTCCTCTCACCCCTCCTCTCTCGAGAAAAATAATGAAAGAATGGCCCTTTAGCTAACAGGACACATTGTATCTACAGTAGACCTTGGGGGGTGGGAGTCAATGTCGCATTATCTGGCGATATTTGTTGGAATCGATAGATATAGTGCGTTGTGGTTGGTCATGGAAGGCACGGGAAGTGCACTAGGGGGACAAAGTTTGTTATGGAAGCCATAGGAGTACGTTTCAGTGTTTGGAAGTATGATAGATTTGTCTGAAGGTTGGAAGAGGATTCTAGAGATGTCTTTCCTTTGTTATCACGGAAGTAGACAGAGGAGCTTGGACATGTGTGGAATGGCGGAGATGGGTGTAGCGACCCGTGGAGGGATCAGGTTGCTTTGGTGATGTTTTCGTATACGCCTGTCATTACCGATTCGCTAGAGAGAGAGAACACAAGACGAAGTACGCACCTTTCCCAGCTATCCCACCACAATGAGCCTCTATCCTATTCCGTTCCTTTACCACTGCGCATTCTAATAGTAGCCTTCATCATAACAAAATTCCCCTGTCGCTGGTTCCTGAATGTGAAAGCTTTCTCTGTGGTCTATCTCAAATTCAAAACAGAAACTCCTTCAATTAATTTTTTGTGGCCAAAAAATGCCTCCTTTGGACCCTTTTTGGCCGCATTGGATGCTCCACTTTAGCCCCTATAGTATCTCAATGTGCTAGCGGTAGGCTAATATTTCTAGAAAACTCAGTATTCCCTTGATTTCTCCCTCTGGTATGATACTGTAAAAACCCTTGGAATCCACTGTCTCGGTCGGCCCTGTAGGTTCCAGGTTCAGGGACGGAAGCCCCCGAGAAGGGTTAGCGTTTCCCCGATATCATAAGATCAGCGCATTGGTTGTGCTGGATCTCTTTAACTGGCATTCGCAATTTTGTTAACCTACTAAACTAAACTTATCGTGGGATGGCAGCCACGACGGAGATAGTGTGTTCCAAAAGCGTTTGCCATAATCAGCCAAGCATTATTCGAACAGAAGTTCCAAGGATATCTGAGGAGGCTCTCATCGGCGATTCCGGAGGATTTAAGTACAGATTTACAGTACCCAGAGTCACGGGAGTCTTAAGCCTGATGGGCGTGGCTGGGGATGTGTACCGGCGTAATAGTTCAAGAAGACCCCTGGAGGCCCGTTTGGGTGCCCCAAGGGAATAGAACCATGAGTTTAACAACAGTAGATTCCTTCCAGTTTCACCAACTGGAAGAGTGAGTTATGGAAAGGGTGGAGTTTGCGGTTTCCAATAGTTTTACCGTATCTGGCCAAAGGGCAAGCGCCCAACACGGATACGGATGTATTGTATCATACGGTACAGCGCCTAAGTTTGTATGTTTTGCTACCAGGGGTAAGGACGGCAAATTGGGCTATTTTTCAATCAAAGTTACCCAATCCGTAGTGAAAATTTACCAATTCTGGGGCTTTACACTTGCGAGCCGTGCACCCCTTGCCGGTAAGACATACAAAACTTATGATACGAGCTGTATGATACGAGTACCTCCGTTCGTACCCTTCCCCATTGCGTCCAAGAGGTAAGACAACTCCACACTTCCGCCTATCCGGTACCACATCCGGAAAGAGCCGCAGAATTCCCCGTAGCTTAAGCCGGGGAGTTTGCCAGAATACGGGAACCTCAACCCGGAACAGATGAATTACAGCTGCAGGAGCTATCCTGTGGGTGGGGTTTTGGTACTTTTCTGGCAGGGGTTGAATTCCCCGATAATTTATGATTGGTTCTCGGGCCGAAGACCTTCCAGCTTTTCAAAACCACAATGTCAGTTAAAACCCACCTGATTTCTGCCGTCGAGCCCTGGGCTTAACAGTCTCCCGAACATCTCCCGTGTTCCCCCCCGGTAGCACCAGTAAGAGTGTTGTACCCGAGCACACCCCCACAGAGTGATGAAAGGTCCTTAAGCATACCGTAGAGTTACTAAAATTACCCAAGATGCTTACCGCCTCGTATGGCTTCCCCGGGCAGCAGACACAGTCACCTTACTTATCTACCAGTCACAATGCCGATAATTAATTCCTAGGGTGGGGATAGAGATGTGCCTAAAATTGGAAATTTGGCGGTGATAGTCTAGGAACCCGAATAAACATCGATGATGTGAATTTGGGGGTCTGGGTATTGTGCTGGCCACCGAAACCGATTTTCACCTGGGATGCTTGGAAGGTGTCCCGTATTGGATTATCGGTATTCGAGAAAAGACTTTAAAAATAATTTCCTCTGGTAATTTTGTAGACCATCGCTTCAAGAAGCCTCTATTTAATTTAATTTTATCTTATCCTTTATTTTATTGATGATCTCGAAATCAATGGTTGAAGTCATGTTGTACGGTAGTCTTCTGTTTGATAAAGCTGTGCTACATCTTCCATTCCGACTCCGACCACAATGGAGAAAGCAAAAGCCATAGGTTAGCCCTAATTCATTCCCAAAAAAAAATGTACAAAAGGAAATCGTATTAGCCATAGGCCCCCAATAGGAGACCACCCCGAATTTAGAAATTTCGGATCAAGTTGACCAAAAGGGTGATCGGGTTTTGATTGCCAGGAACAGTATGATAAGTGCCCATCCGAACCAAACCCCACACGCCCGAAGCCAGGCAGGATAGTTGAAGCATTCCCATATCTTTTTGTATCTCGCTATTGCGTGATAAGGTATAAATACAATTATTTATTTCTTCCAGAACACTGTCGATGAGAATTTTGTTTAAGGGAATCTTCAATATCTAGTCAGTTGTGTGGTAGGCGTTATCGTTATATAGTGGACATTCCACAACACTGTGCATGTCATATCTGCACATTGTGAAATGGGCACTGGGCCAAGTTAAAGTTTCGCCAACCCTTGGAAACTTTAATGGGGTCGGACTCTAGCGTCCGCTACACTAGCAGGTATGGTAGTTATGACAAGGCGTGCGTACAGTACTTCATAGCTTTGGAAATAGTTATCACTGGTAGCGTACCGTACTAGTAGGTGAGCACTAAGAGCTGGTAGACCTAAACGGGAATAGGTTGAGCCCTGTTCTACCGTACTGGTAACACGCCACTTTCCTGGGGTAGTCTACTCATAGTTCCAGAAGAGAGCGGTTTTGATACCGGTAATAAGCGACAAGCCGGCATCATTCCTCAG